GCACACTACAATAACATTTCTTATCATGTAGTCCAAAAACTACGAAATATAATTAATGCCAGGATCTACAATTGCTATGGACAGCAAACTCTGGAAGTTGGATCATTACGGAGCGAGCGAAGCGAGCAGAGTCTTTCCTTAGATTAACGGATATTTCTGAGTATGAGCGGCCGGCCGGCCGGCCGTGGTCACGATTTTGCGACGCTTATATCTCAGCATAGGTGGGCATCGTTCCCCAAAATTGTAACTTCGTTACTCGTTCCTCCGTTCCTTCAAAACCTGACTTCCGTTACTCGTTCCTCCGTTCCTCTGCATATCCCGCGCCCTGCTGGGGGGGGGGGGTGTTTGAACACCCCCCCCCTGTGGTTTTTCGCGAATATCTCAAAAACGGCGGCGCGGAGCGCCGCCGTTTTTGGTACACCTTACCATACATCAATTCTACACATGTTATGAAAATTTCAGACCAAGGTCATTCAAGGTCAGGTCACCAGGTCACTTGAAGTGACCTCACCCCATAAAAACTTTCGATGTCTGTCATAGCTACACCGAGTGACCGATCGCTTTGAAACTTTCAGCGATTGCTAAGAGCAATAGCATGTACAAAATGTATATCTCAGAATTTTGATATCGATGACCTAAGGTCAGGTCAATTTTGCGACCTCCCCATTATAAGTCAATGGGAGAAAATTGAAATGCGCCTCTTTTGGATGAAAGACATTATAAACACTCCCAAACACCGAATTACAAGTGGTTTAGACACACTGAACTTGAAAATGGTGTCCGTGACCCTTGTTTATGCCCTGAGGTCATCTTAGGTCACGAATGGTATCTAACAGTTTTTCGCAAATAACTTTTGATAGAGGCATGCTAGAGCGATGAAAACGCCTTAGATGTGTTCAGCTCGACGATACGGATCGACTGATATGCAACATGACCCTTTCCGGTCAGGTCATGACCTTGACCTGAGGTCAAATTTTCAAGTTGGGGCGTTCCACGACAAATCGACAAATAAAAAATTAAATTTGCACCCTCATATTTTATTTTTCGTTGAAAACTGGTGTAAGGGGTTGTGATGGGCGGGGAAGCCAGCTGTGGCAAGGATTTTTTTCTTCGAACAACGGTTTCCGAGATATAGCCTCGGGCAGTTCCAGCAGGTCGCGCTGCAGCCCTATGTTTGGCGGCCTATAACTCAGAAACTATTGGTTTTCTACGATAAAAACTTAATATGGTTCAATTCACAATCAGCCAACAAACATGTTGGCTATCTTGGATTTTTAATTTTTGAAAATTTTGATCACGTGACCTTTTGACCTATTTTTCGAAGAGTGACCTTGATATTTTCCCCACTGAAAGTTGCAATTTTGTCTGATGACGATTAAAGCCTTATCAATTGTCATTCATATGCGAAAATAAAAAAAGTGGATATCGCCCTGCGTTGGCCTCAGGTCAGGTCATTTTTATGACCTGTCCATTATTACGAGCGGGAGCGACAGCGAGATCTCGAGAATAAAGCAAGATAGCGACAAGCGGTAAACGGTGCAGGGTACAAATGGATAAGGTCTATAATTTTTACTGAGGTCATTTTCAGGTCAGGTCAAAGATGACGTCACAGGAGCAAAAAGGAAGTCAAAATTGCGGCACTACATATATATGAAGTTTTTCTAGAATAACTTTCAAGATATCCCAGCTAGGAACAAACTAATAGCACCATCGTGATCCTCTCGTCGATCCACATCGAAATATATGTATGTTGACCTCGAAAGGTCGAAAGGTCAAAAGTTGACCTTAGGTCACGTGACGAGCGGGAGCGATAGCGAGATCTCGAGAATAAAGCAAGATAGCGACAAGCGGTAAACGGTGCAGGGTACACACGGATAAGGTCTATAATTTTTATTGAGGTCATTTTCAGGTCAGGTCAAAGATGACGTCACAGGAGCAAAAAGGAAGTCAAAATTGCGGCACTACATATATGAAGTTTTTCTCGAATAACTTTCAAGGTATCCCAGCTAGGAACAAACTAATAGCACCATCGTGATCCTCTCGTCGATCCGCATCGAAACATATGTATGTTGACCTCGAAAGGTCGAAATGTCAAAAGTTGACCCTAGGTCACGTGACCTATGGTCAACTTTTGACCTTTCGACCTTTCGAGGTCAACATACATATGTTTCGATGCGGATCGACGAGAGGATCACGATGGTGATATTGCTTTGTTCCTAGCTGGGATACCTTGAAAGTTATTCGAGAAAAACTTCATATATATGTAGTGCCGCAATTTTGACTTCCTTTTTGCTCCTGTGACGTCATCTTTGACCTGACCTGAAAATGACCTTAGTAAAAATTATAGACCTTGTCGATTTGTACCCTGCACCGTTTATCGCTTGTCGCTATCTTGCTTTATTCTCGAGATCTCGCTGTCGCTCCCGCTCGTAATAATGGACAGGTCATAAAAATGACCTGACCTGAGGTCAACGCAGGGCGATATCCACTTTTTTTATTTTCGCATACGAATGACAATTGATAAGGCTTTAATCGTCATCAGATAAAATTGCAACTTTCAGTGGGGAAGATAACAAGGTCACTCTTCGAAAAATAGGTCAAAAGGTCACGTGATCAAAATTTTCAAAAATTGAAAATCCGAGATAGCCAAAATGTTTGTTGGTTGATTGTGAGTTGAACCATATAAAGTTTTTATCGTAGAAAACCAATAGTTTTTGAGTTATAGGCCGCCAAACATAGGGCTGCAGCGCGACATCCAGGAATTGCCCGAGGCTATATCTCGGAAACCGTTGTTCGAAGAAAAAAATCCTTGCCACAGCTGGCTTTCCCGCCCATCACAACCCATTTGACCAATTTTAAGCAAAAAATAAAATATGAGGGTGCAGGGCACTTGTCGATTTGTCGTGGAACGCCCCAGTTGACCTTTCAAGGTCAAGACATAGTTCATTTGATGCGTCTTGACGAGAGGAACACGATGCCGGTAAAAGTAAGCTCGTACAAGGCTTGGGTCAAAAGTTATTGCAGAAAAACTGTTTTCGAAAAAATCGGCTATTTTTGCAGTTTTTGCCCCCTGCAGGCAAAACCGTTAACGTTAGGTCAAATCTGAGAGAATTACTCAGAAAGGGCGTTAATAGGGCTATCGAATGCGCTTTTCCGCGGCGCTGTAGCTCTATTGGTTCCCGAGTTATGCGTTGGCTTCTTGGAAATTTTCGACATTCGACCTGGAAATCGGCGAAATTTTGCCTTCAATGACCTCTGGTGACCTGACCTTTGACCTGACCAAAAAATTGACTGAAGTGATTTCGTCATCATTTTTTACGCTCTTTCGAACGCCGCCTTCCGCGTATCGCTACGTGGCCCAGGAGCCGAGTTACAAGGGGGGGGGGTGTTCAAACACCCCCCCCCCAGCAGGGCGTGGAAATCCAGGACCCCCAGCAGGGCGCGGGATATAATGTAACGGAAGTTCTTTAGTCCGTTACTCCGTTACAGCGAAATAAAAAACGTTAAAATGTTAAGTATTTCACACATTTTTGAGACCATTCTGACACAAACTAAACCTACCGAGAAAGCGGAATGCCCACCAAATCTGCCAAGACAGCGGGCACTGATTGGACACTAAACCTTGGAACGTCTGGTGGTACTGATGCGCATCATTTGTCCCCGGCCAGATGCCCGTTGCCCTTCACGAACACTAAGACGTTCCAGGTTGGCATCTGAGAGCATAGGCGGCGGAACGGGGGGGGGGGGGGCACCGGCGCACCGTGCCCCCTTTGATTTTGGTATTTTAACATTAGCCCTATGTGCGTTGCATGGAAAAATGGGACCAAAAGTCGGCAGTGCCCCCCCCCCCCTCCCTTAATTGAAGAGCTGCCACTTTCTGAGAGGGTAGCCCTTTTGCACGTAGCACATCTTTTCCCATTGAGAACATGCGCTCTACTGAGGCGCTTGAAGGGACGCCCGTGTTGAACTTTGCGAACACATACTACAACGCCGGCTCATTGCGGAAGGCCAGTACACTGAGGCCATCATCCGTCTTCAAGTCAGGGCTGCTCAATAATCCACTATTCCGCTGCTGCATTAATGTCTGTGGGTTAGCTGAAAGATCAAACCGCTTGGACAACGAAAAGTAACGGAGGAACGAAGCAGTAGCGGCGGAACACCTTCAATTAAAGAGGGACACTGCCGACTTTTGGTCCCATTCTTTCCATGTAACGCCCATAGGACTAATGTTAAAATGGCAAAATCAAAGGGGGGCACGGTGCCCCGGTGCCCTCCCCGTTCCGCCGCCTATGGAACGAAGGAACGGACTAAACTGTTAAGTGTAACGGAGGAACGAACAACCAATGTAACGGAAGTTACTTGGTCCGTTACCCTTTTTAAAATGTAACGAGTCCGTTCCTCCGTTCCTAAAAATTGTAACGGCGTTCCGGAACGGAGGAACGGAGGAACGGATCGTGCCCACCTATGTATCTCAGCAACCACTTGACCGATTTACACGCGGTAATTTTTGCACGGTAGCTTCATTCCTTCTACCAAGTACCAACTATTCCCGATGTATGTGGGTGACTCCTTATGCACGTGCCACGTGCAAAACGAAGAGGTGTCAGTTTTGTAATAGTTGCAATATCTCGGCGACTACTTGGCCGATTGCGCTGAAAGTTGGCATGTATGTAGGCACCCACTAGGCAATACATATCCATGTGCCAGAGTTGGGGTGCTGCTGCACGTGCGCACGTGCAGGGGTCGTTTCCAGATCTCGAGAACGACTGGGCCGATTGCGCTCAAATTTGGCACATCGCTAGAGACCGGTTAGTAGGGTGCCGTGCACAAGTCAGTTGGAGGTACCCCCTCGCAATTTCGCACGTGCAAGGCCACCCTCTCGCTCGCTCCGTTAGTCGCCCCAAAAGGCGTTATACCTACTGGTAGGAGGGTTTGTGTTAAAGACCGGTCGAAGTTGTAAACGTGATAGGATAGCCAAGTCAGCGAAGAAACCTTAAAAATCAATCGGCGTGTCTTTTATTTCATTGCAAGTAGGGCTTTTGTATAATTAAGTTTCTGAAGCGATAGTAAAGTTCCTAAAATGTCTCTTTTCCAGAAACAATCCGCATATTTCGATTTCCTGAGATGCATAACAAAACGATTCGTATCACACATGGCTGCAGACTGGCGCACAACGGAAGCAAGCATGCATGCTATTCTGTACCAGAACTAGCACTGCTGCAGCTAGCAGGTAGCAGGCACTATCAGTTAATCAACCGGCATACACAATAGATTGTTGCGTTGCTATAAATAAGCGGAACGCCTGGCTGTAGCGGTACAAATACACGTTTCATATGTAATGGCGGTTACCTGACTCATGGTGACTCCCTGTAAGCGATGATGGCCGTCAGCCTGGCGGTGGTGCGGCTGGGACCCGCTCCCCACCACGGACCGGCTCCACGGGCTCGGCCACGGCCGGAGTCCTCGGTGCCCGCCGACGCACGCGGCGAGGGCGGTCGGTGGCCGGCCGCCGCACCAGCTCCGGGTCCCGGGGCAGGATCGGCACCGGGCGCCAGGCGGCCGGCGGTGGCATCGGCTGGCTGCCGACCGCCGGAGACGCCTTCCTGGGGCGTTTGGCTGCCGGACCGGACCGAGGGCGTCTGGGCACCGCCTCCACCGCCGCTGGTGGCTCCACCGGCAGTGGCGGATCATCCGCACCGGCCGCAGTCGGACCCGGAGGCGCACCGTGTTTGACTCGCACGTGCTGGGCCAGTTTGTCCGATCGTGTCGTCTTGTAGGGACACCGCTGGCAGCCGAGCACGCCCTCGCGACCATGCAGCAACGCGTGGCGCCGCATGTTGCGAACGTGTCCGAACTTTTTGCCGCACACCTCACACTGGTACTGCTTGTCGGCAGCGTGCGTGACCAGGTGGTCCTTGAGCAGCCAGCCGGTGGTGGCGCGGAACGAGCAGCCCTCGTGCGGACACGGCTCAGTGGCACCCGCATGGCGCGCCTTGTGTGCCTTGAACTGGCCCGTGTGACGCGTGCAGAAACCACACACGTCACAGAGCAGCTTTTTCTCGGCACCGTGTGTTCGGGCGTGACTTTGCAGCGCGTGCCGCCACTTGAAGGCACGTCCACAGGTGCGGCATTCGAACGGCTTGGCGCTGGAGTGAGTCGGCATGTGCAAGTTTAGTCCGGTGCGACTCGGGAAGCGTGCGAAGCACACAGAGCAGAAGAAGGGGCGCGGGTCGTTGTGGCGTCGGTAGTGTTCGGCCATGCTCTCGCCGGGCGCGCACTCGTGGAAGCAGAGGGAGCAGACCGTCTCGCCGTGCTCAGCCTCGATCAGATGGCGCAGCAGCTGACTCGTCTTCTGACGCGTCACGCCGCAAAAGCCGCACACGTAGCTGCGCACGTGGTGCATGCGCCGGTGCTCGTGCATACGTGCCGCGCCCTGGCAGGTGAAGGAGCAGCTGCGGCACACGTGCAGTCGCGCCGACTCACCGCCGGCCGGCCGGCCCTGAGGGCCCGGGCGCTGTTCCGTGGCGGCTGCCGGCGGCGGCGGCTCCGGAGAGCTGCCCACCAGCCGGTCCACGGCGTGTTTCTCACACAGCGATACGGCTTCCTCCATCTGTAGCAGCTTGGCGAGGTCGTAGAGGACGGGGTGTGTCTCCTCAGACACGGCCAGCGGACTGCAGTAGGCGAACTCCACCAGCTCCTCCCGACCGGACGTGTCCCGCGTGCTCCCCGGACCCAGGACCTAAGTAGCCGAAAGTAACCTTTGCTATCCGTTACTGATCCAACAATATTGGTTGCCACCTCTTGTGATTAGTTTGGTAGAAGATATAAAATATTGATATCCATTTGGTAAAAATACTGGACGGCTGGCGACGTGTTGAAAATGGCGGGAAGGAAGAAGAACAACAAAGAGGCGAATGATGCGCAGGGTTCGTCTTCAAAGGCTAAGAAAGCAAAACAGAAACAAGCTAAGGCAGTAAAAGAGGCTGAAATTGAGGAAAGCAGTGGAAGTGAGAGTGAGGATATCACAGATTCGGACGTAAGTAGTGATGGGGAAGAGATTATTGGACCTGTTGGACTCTGGAGATCTGCTACTAAAAAGGGCAAGAAGGGAGATAAGGTAGTGTATGTATGTACGGGAGGCAAAAAGCCATGTGGTAAGGTCATTGAAGGGAAGGACAAATGCATCATGTGCGAATGTTGTGCTGGGTGGTTCCACACAGACTGTCAGGATCTCAGTGCCAGTGCAGTATACGCACTGGAGACCTATGAACTGCCATGGATTTGCATATCCTGTAGAGCAGAGTTGAAGCAGAAACGCAGGCTGGTTAGGAGGATTGACAGGCAAGTTGAATTTCGGATGAAGGGGATGGAGAAGGAGATCACAAGTCAGATAAACGAGACAGAGCAACGGCTAACAAGAAAACTCTCGGAACTAGGGCTACAGTCTACGAAGGAGCTCGACCAAAAACTTGAAGTGGGACTGAAAAATGTGGAGTCAAATGTCACAAAAGAAATCGGCAAGAGCTCTGATGAAGTGAAGAAAGCTGTAGTAGAACATGAGAGGAGAGTAGACCGTTCCCATAATGTGATAATGCACAACATACCAGAGTGTGGAGGAGGCACAGTGGCAGAGAAGATGGAGCATGACCAGGAGCAAGTCAAGAAAATCATCAACTCTATATGTGAAAATGACAGGGAGATCAAGGTTGAAAGGGTCTTCAGACTGCAGAGGAGGGATGCTAATCCCAACCCTGAACCCCGACCCAGACTGCTGCTCGTCCGCTTTGAGAAAAAAGAAGATGCAGATCTGGTCATGAAGAACAGGTTTGGACTGCGTCATGCAGGATATCCAAACACATACATCAACAGAGACCTCTCCAAAGAAGAACGGGAGAAGGAGTGGCTACTGAGGCAGGAACTCAAGAAGAAAGGAAGAGAAACTCATATGATTTTTCGAGGCAGGGTCGTTCCCAGGAACGAACAGTAAAGCGCAACCAGTATCCAATAATAGGAGTGAAATGCAATGCAAGTTAAGCTGTCTGTATACAAATATTGATGGATTAAGCAAGACAAAGGGAGATGAACTTAATATTGCAATCAACCATTTCAAGCCACATATTGTGTTTATAACTGAAACAAAAATGGACGAAACCCAAGTTGTCTCTCAGTTCATTGAATGTTCTGGCTATACTGTTTTTAGAAGGGACAGGGGATATGGTAGAGGAGGTGGTGTTTTGATATTGGTCAAAGATTATATCACTGCCCGAGACTCTGCCGATCAGTACAATGTTGAGTGTGTATCTTGCCAGCTGACATTTGGACAACATACTGTGAATCTTGCGTGCATGTATCGACCCCCAAATGCAGATGCTAACTACAATGAAGCTACTAGAGAAGCATTGAAAAAACTCAGTAACAAGCATGGCCAAGTAGTCATCTGTGGTGACTTTAATTTTCCCCAGATTAATTGGATGCATAATACTGTACAGGGTGGCATGCTAACAGAGCAGAGCCAGTTCTATGAAGCTACCCAAGATGCCTTTCTACAGCAGCATGTCAATTTATGCACTCGAGTCCGAGGAAGTAATGAGCCCTCACTCTTGGACCTCATACTTACTCGGAACTCCCTGGAAGTTGACAATTTAAAGTATAAATCACCCATAGGGGCCAGTGACCACTGTCTGTTGGTCTTCGACCTGCTTATAGAAGGCAATGAACCACAGTTGCAAGCTGATACTAGAAAGAATTTCTTTAAGGGCAATTATGAAGAAGCAAACAACATGTTTGCTGATATTAACTGGATACAGGAACTTGGAGGGAAAGATGTGCAAGCTGCATGGGACATATTTATGATGCACTACAACGCTGTTGTTGATCACTGTGTTCCAACCCACATGAATAGCCCAAACAGAAAGCACAGGAAGAAGAAATGGATGACTCGGAAGGTAATGGAGGACATACAGAGGAAGGAGCATGCTTGGGACAGATACAGAAAATCAAAAAGCAAGATCCACCTGAACCAGTACAAGAAGATAAGGAACAAGGCAACAAAGAGTGTGAGGGAGGCAAAGTACCTGTTTGAAACCAAGCTTGCCAAGGAAGCCAAGACGAACCCCAAGGCATTTTATGCTTATGCTAGAAGTAAAACCTCAATTAAAGAACAAGTTTTGTCTGTTAAAAACAAGAATGGGGCCGACACAAAGACGTTAGAAGAGGCATGTGAAGTGATAAATGAAGAGTTTGAGAAGGTATTTACAAGAACCGCTGTCTCTCCCCCCTGGTCAGTTCTAACAGGTTTCCAGGGTGAAAAACTGACACAGGTGGAAATAACCAGGGATGAAGTGGAGAAGACACTGCGTAGTCTGAAGCCGTCAGCTCCAGGTCCTGACGGAGTGCACCCGGTTGTGCTAATGCACTGTGCGACCAGTCTGAGTACACCTTTGACAACTGTTTTTCAAGCATCACTGCAACAAGGACGCGTACCGAGGGACTGGACAAGGGCAAACGTGACACCAATTTATAAGAAGGGCAGTCGGAGCGACCCACTCAATTACAGACCTATAAGCCTGACATCTGTTGCTTGTAAAACACTAGAACGACTAATCAGGACCCGTCTAATCAGCCATCTTGAAGAGTCTGGTCTCCTCAGCATCCATCAGCATGGCTTCCGATCTGGGATGTCGTGTTTAACACAGCTCTTGGAGTATCTGTGTGAGCTAGAGAATGCGATGGATGATGGAGACAGCGTTGACTCCGTGTACTTAGACTGTGCCAAAGCATTTGACTCGGTGCCGCACGACCATCTTCTAGCGAAGCTCTGGGCAGCTGGCATTGAGGGCCCACTAGCACACTGGATTCGATCTTTTCTAACAAACCGTGAGCAACGGGTATGCATTAAAGGAACACGATCTAGCTGGAGGAAGGTCAGGAGTGGCGTGCCCCAAGGCAGTGTTTTGGGACCGACTTTGTTCCTCATCTATATAAATGATCTGCTGGATGGACTCCAGTCAGGAGGGAAGCTCTTTGCAGACGATGCAAAGATCTTTCGACGCATCAAGTGTCCAGAAGACAGGCAGCGACTGCAAGCAGATCTCGACAAGCTACAGGAGTGGAGCAACAGGTGGCTTCTTAAATTTAATGAGAAGAAATGTACTGTACTGAACATAGGCAAAAGGAATCCCAAATACCCATACAGAATGGGAGGAGCCCAACTGGCACACTCGGAGCAAGAAAAAGACCTTGGGGTACTAATAACCACTGACCTGAAACCTGCCATGCAAGTCGCCAGAGCAGCAGCAGCAGCAAACTCTATGCTAGGCCGTATCAAGAACACCCTAACATGTCTCAGTGAAGAAACCCTCCTGCCGCTATACAAGGCACTTGTAAGACCACGGATGGAATTTGCAATTCAAGCATGGTCCCCCTACCTCAAGAAAGATATCGTGAAGCTGGAGAAGGTGCAAAGGAGGGCCACAAAACTTGTCTCATCACTGTCTCATCTGCCATACGAAGAGCGGCTCCAAAGACTTGGCTTAACCACACTGGAAAAGAGAAGAACTAGAGGCGACATGATTCAAACATTCAAAATACTCAAAGGCTTTGACCGAATCAAAACAGACTGTGCATTTCTGGTCCTGGATCATGGACAGCAAGGAACAAGGGGACACAGTATGAAGCTAATTAAGCCAAGACACAGAACACAAAAACGTAACGAGTTCTTCCCATCTAGAGTTGTCGACAAGTGGAACTGCCTGCCTGAAACTGTCATACAAAGTGAGAATGTCAATCAATTCAAGAGAAGATTCGACAAGTACATGCTAACTAACAATGAGAGGAGGCAACCCTCATGAGCCACCCGCTCCCATGCCTCCTACTCCTATCTCTTCGGTAAGCATCTCTTCGGTAAGCTGGCGGACACAGTCGGCCAGGAGGGACGGCTCGGCGGGCGCCCCCTCCGCCACAGACAGCTCCAGTAGGTATCGGTAGGCGCCCGGCTGACGGGGAGCCCTGGGATGACGCGCCGCCGAGCTCGGCCTCCCATCAGGGCTCGCCGTCTCCACCGAGGGAGACGAGCCAGATACAGTAACCACCTCACTGCTACCAATCGCCATATCACTAGTGCTGACTGCCACCACATCCGTTACTGAGGCTGTCTCTGGCACATCAACAGTTCTGCTCCCTGGGAGACCTGCAGAGGGCTGAACTATGGTGATTCCATCACCAACACCACCAGAACCCAGGATTGCTGCTGACATGTTGCTGTCAGATAACTCATTGCCAAGAACAGTCATCAAATTGGGAGTTCCCTGCACACTGAAAATAACCTGGTCCATATTTACTCCTTCATTTGCTGGCTCAATATAGATGATGTCTTGAGCTGTACTTGTCTGAACATTGTCTTCAATCACATCTCCTTGGTTGGCTGAGACCATAGCTTGCTGGACCTGATGATGGAAACATAACCAACATTTTAGGACGCCCACAGAACGCAAGAACATGATGGGGTACTTTCAAATAAGCTGCTACAAATCCCATCAACTGATCTAAAAGAAACCTACTGGATGATCCATAACTTAAAAGTTAAAAAACATACACCATCCAAATAAAATACTGACAACATTAACTTCTAGTATCACCATGTGAAGAGTGATGTCAGAACTCTTGAGGGATTTCACCATGTCACTAATTCTATTTTTAATCACACCAGTCCAGTGAGCTATGTAAATCATCAAAACATTAAAAAGATATATCAACATACCTTTTCAGATTGACTTTCATTTCCCCAGCTGGAATGAATTGTGACAGAAAGAGAGACATAACCTCCTAGCCTTGTTGAAGGAATGTGTGGCAGGAGAGACGAAGACTTCCTTGCAATGTCCGAGAAATAAATGCTTGAAACAGCCAAGATGTTGGAATGTGCTGATAAATGCACAGAGTTTGGAACTGTTATCAGCACATCACAATAATCCCCGCTTTCCCTCTGTCTGCACAATCCATTCACAAGTCTGTCCTTGGCGACACTTGAAGTCATTTCAATTTCCTCTCGCTAATAAAGGCTTGGTAATGGAGCATTCAGTCAATTTGATTCTGAAAACAACCAAACAGTATTTGACAACCACATCTGCACATTTGTCCCCAGAAGAATCTTTGCCAAGATCATAGATATAAAGACTATATATACAAAGATTATAGTCTTTCCCCGCGTTCGATATCTCACGGACGACGAAGATTCTACGTCGTCTGGCCAATCCCGTTCAAGGTCAGCGGGGGCTCGGCTGCGGTTATGGAGCGTGATTGGCCGGACGGCGTAGAATCTTTGCCGTCCGAGAGACATCGAACGCGGGGTTTATTTAATCCAAGGCTATCTATAGACCAACCCCGCGTTCGATGTCTCTCGGACAACTAAGATTCTACGTCGTCCGGCCAATCACGTTCAAAGTCAGCGGGGGCTCGGCTGTGGTTATGGAACGTTATTGGCCGGACGGCGTAGAATCTTCGTCGTCCGAGAGACATCGAACGCGGGGCTAATCTTTGCCCCGCAGAATAATATATTTTCCGCGCTTACACGCGTGTGTTTTGTGCACTGGTTTTGTGTGAGAACTGTGTGGTGCATGCAAATGGCGCGCCTACGCGAATGTTTTGCCGCACCTTATTTTCGAACGCATACACTAAATACGAAATCTTTGCTTTACCTAGTGCTTTACATGAAAATAACGGGGCCCTGTTTCACGGGTACGCCGCTGTATTCCGCGTTCTCACTTCTCTATATACCGTGCATTGCGCTACGCGTCTGCTACGCGTAGCGGTGTATTGGTGCGGAATTAGCCTTGACCCTTCAGCGTTACGAGCGTCCGAGGTTGCTAATGCTGATGTTTCCATGGGAACCCAATACACCGCTACCGCTACGCGTAGCGCGCTGTAGCGCAGTGCCGTGAAACGCGGCCCAGGAGATCACCAGTGTTGCTGTTGACCTCCACTACTGGTCCATAGGAACATAAGTGCATATTTGAAAAAGTACCAGCATGAAATAATTGAGTTAAAAATTAGTATTCATCCTTCCTGGCATCCGATTTCAGCAGCAACTAGGACTGGGATAATATCATGATACCAATTGTGACCTACATTAATCTGAGCTAATTTATGTCCAGGAGAGCCGTAATGCCAAAATGATTCACTCAGATCACTATCGAGAGCATCTTTAACCTTTACCATGCCATACCTCGGATCATCCAGCCACCACGTTGAAACACGCTGGCCTCCTCTCGGCGCGGTCAGTATATTTAAACCACAGCCGTATCACACTTCCTCCGAGGCTGCCGACACAGATGGCAGCTTTGTATACTCTGGCCGGCGGGGCGGGCCGCCCCAGCCGCCCTCAGCGCACACACCCACACATAGACTCCGTAACAGACTGCCCCTCCCTCCCTAGTGTCCGGCGCGCCGTCTAGCCGCTGGCCTGCTCGGCGAGCATCTCGGCCTTTTCGACCACCTCCTCGATGTGTCCAACCATGTAGAAGGCGGCCTCGGGCAGGTGGTCGTACTTGCCGGCCAGGATCTGCGAGAAGCCGTCGATCGTCTGCTCCAGAGAGACGAACTTGCCGGCGAAACCTAGACAGACGGGCGCAGAATGGTTAAAATGCGAGTCTCTGCTGGGGTTTCAACGTCAATGTAGTCGAAAGCAAAGTTGCAGCTACCGGAATTCGAACAAACGTTAAACATGAGTTAGACTGCTACGATGGAAGTTGCTATAAAGTAATCACACAAAATAAAACAAACGATGAAACATTGAAGACATCGTATAATACCGCTAAAATCCAAACGGTGCCGGGTCCCGCTAACAACCACGAGCCCCACGCTTCTGAGCTAAAACTCCATCTAAGACGCCATCCCAAGCACTCTACCCCAGCCCCATCAGTGAGGACGGTTTATAGTTCACCCCTTCCCCTTCGATTAACTCACCAGTGAACACCTCGGCAACCTGGAACGGCTGCGACAGGAAGCGCTGGATCTTGCGCGCGCGCGACACGATCAGCTTGTCCTCCTCACTCAGTTCGTCCATACCCAGGATGGCGATGATGTCCTGCAGCGACTTGTGGTCCTGCAGGATCTTCTGCACGCCACGGGCCACGCTGTAGTGGCGCTCGCCGATCACGTTCGGGTCCATAATACGCGAGATGGAGTCGAGCGGGTCGACGGCCGGGTAGATACCCAGCTCGGCGATGGCGCGCGACAGTACGGTGGTGGCGTCCAGATGGGCGAACGTGGTGGCCGGCGCCGGGTCCGTCAGATCGTCGGCCGGCACGTAGATGGCCTGTACGGAGGTGATGGAGCCCTTCTTGGTGGTGGTGATGCGCTCCTGCATGCTACCCATGTCGGTGGCCAGGGTGGGCTGGTAGCCGACGGCGGACGGGATGCGGCCCAGCAGGGCCGACACCTCCGAGCCGGCCTGTGTGAAGCGGAAGATGTTGTCGATGAAGAGCAGCACATCCTGTCCCTCCTGGTCGCGGAAGTACTCGGCCACAGTGAGGCCGGTCAGGGCGACACGGGCACGCGCGCCCGGCGGCTCGTTCATCTGGCCGTACACCAGCGCCACCTGTGGGCAGAGTCGGGAAACAGGCGGTCAGGCTCCAACAATACATGGCTGGTGGTGGGGTGTCAGGGAAGTTCAAATCACTGCAATACGCAGAGGTGCATTACACCAAGCATTACTATGACGACAACACAATCTCACGTACAAAAATATTAAAATTTAATAAAATCTCCAAGAATAGTATTTATACAAGTGCGGTGTGTGGCCTTTGTCTGAGGAAATACTATGACAGGTGAGCTGGGAAAAAATCGAACAACAGTTTGTGATAAGGAAAAATGTAAGAATAACAACTGAAATGTAAAGAAGACGATCTAGGGGATTCGTACCAGGACTGGGCGAGGACGGGAAGCTGGTGGCTCGGTGCAGGCCTGTGTTCGGGAATGATGAGTGGCCTCCATCCAGGGTGACAGCGAACCATCGCCCAGGTTCTCCCGGTTCGGCCAGGTTCTGGCGTCAAGACAGCAGCAATATATCCACAGACGCATCAATACGTCTATGCAATAATAATAAACAATATATCTGGCAAAGCTACTGCAGGAAACCGTTACGTCAACTAAAGGACAGATGAGACTAGCAACTCTACACAACTCCCGCTCATCTTCATAAGTGGTAGTCGGAAGACACAGCGCTCGAGCTCACAAATGGGCACCGGGAACATCCTAGAGCCGTTGTATGACCCGAGGGAAGCAAACAGTCGTTAAAAATACAACCCCTATAAAATTCAGCCATAAAACCGAAGGACCCGTTCTTATGAACTGGAGTCACTAAACTAACAACTTGTCAAACGGCTCGGTCGAACGACTTGTAAATTGATATTGACTGTTGTACAGTATATGATTATTTACTTTCACCCTGTTACAGCATTGGAGTAAAAAGCCATAAAATTAATAGTCCTGTTCAAACGTAACCGCAGAGTCCATAGTCAATAGCAGTTAGCATGGGGAGCATAAAACAAACTATAGCGTTGAGTGACCAGAACATAGCATCGATCGCCATAGCGGTGGCCCCTCTCCTACAACCAAAAGGGCGTAGGATTATAGGCACCACCTGCGTCCCGCCACGTACCGATCTTGCCTCCCTTGGCGTAGGGGGCGAGCAGGTCGACCACCTTGATGCCGGTGACGAGGATCTCCTGCGAGACGCTCATGTCGACAAAGTCGGGCGCCTCGGCGTGGATGGCGGCCCGCTTGTCGGTCGGCACCGGGCCCCGCTCGTCGATCGGCTCACCTGCCCAGGGAAATATGGTAAGTAAGAGGGTGATACGGGCGCCAGGGCCAAACTAGGCAGTCCCAACATTGCAGTAGGGACGGGGAGAGGTCTAGCCGCTTCAGCGCTGGATTTCTGGTCCCCGAAGTAGACCGACTACGGTCATTGGCAGTAGTGGTCGGATTACAGACCAGGTAAGTCGGCGAGCAGGGCGTTATCCAGCTTATGCAGACACGTATGCCATGTTAAACGTTTAACTGTAACTAACGTTGAACGTTACATTTTTATACCTCGTTCATCTTCTCGTCGGTTCTCCCCAGAGCCAGCATAAACAACCATCCACCTCAGCTCTCCCCCTTTCTCCTCGGCCCTCCCCAACGTTGGATAAGGAGGGCCGAGGGAAACTCCGCACCCCCGAGAACTCAACACCCCCCCCCCCGTTCCGTACCGATGACGTTGATGATACGGCCGAGCGTCTCGGGACCGACGGGGATCTTGATGGGCGAGTTGGTGTCGGTCACCTTCTGGCCGCGCACCAGACCCTCTGTGCCGTCCATGGCGATGGTGCGCACCGTGTTCTCACCTGCATGGCACACACATACATGGTAGGTTAGGGGCGAGCGTTCAGCGTACACGGTGCGGGATGGGGTGCGAAGGCTCGGTAGCTGAGCTGTGGGAAGATGACATACTAAATCAAGAATACTGGACAAACAAATAGCTTATTGGCCCAACACAAAAAAACGAAATTCTGAGTCGCCCAGGGCTCCGGACATCCTGTGACCCCCAGATCACTAAGATGCTGAATGACCTTAATGGGTCATTAAAAGCACCTCTGAACAATGGTCATTGGTCAACTTACTAAGATATTATAGAGACCTAAGCCAACTCAGCCAGGGCTGGATGACCGGTGATCTAACCCAACCACGGATACACCGATCAACCTCGTACGACCCGAGAACCTCCCTGGTGCGTCAGTCGCGACCTCCGTGCCTTGGGGACTTACCGAGATGCTGTGCCACCTCGAGGATGAGGCGCGGCTCGCGGTTCTTCACCTCCAGGGCGTTGAGGATGGGCGGCAGCTCGCCGTCGAACTGCACATCCACCACAGCACCGATGACGGCCGTGATCTGGCCGGTCGAGCCGGCGGCGGCGGGGGCGGCGGCGGCCGGAGCATTCCGAGACTGCCCTGCGGATCAAAGGTATCAATATCAAAGGTATCATTCAAAGGTATCAATATGGTGTGAGGATTATATGAAATACATACACTCTAAAACTTCCTCTAAGCCATTGAAGTCATGAAGTGGATATGTGTTTCTAGAGCTTTAAGTCATACTTAATACCTACATTTTCTTCCACATTATCAGCACTACTGTCCCTTGCTGACCTCTACCAGATCAGCACCTGTTGGCAGCATTCAGGTCATCAAGTGCTACCTCCAGAGTTTGGAGTGGACAGACCAAGCAGACCTTGAGCTGGGAAGAAATCCAGCTTCAAGCCTGGGGAACAGGTTACAAAGGAAGACAGGACAGTTGACACTAACAAATCTGCCTATGGGCTGGCTGACAAACTATTGACATTCATCTACAACAATGACAATGATCCAAGGCAACATTTGTATTAAGTTGCTAGGGATCTTAAATGGATATGTGGGACTGGGCAGTGAAGAAGTGAATAGATGAATTGGGTGATGAAAAACATAACAGGCAACAACTATTACAACAAGTAGCATACCTAGCAATAGGAAGTTCATTCCTACACCTGCCCTCTGGCTTTGTGATAGGCAAGGGTACTTGGGAGCAAAACAAAAATGAGCAAATGGGTGTTGCAAGTCAGGAAGCAAAGAGAACAGTGGTGAGTAGTCAGCCTAACATGTGTATGGATCGAGTCATGAACAATGAAAGAGCAAAACAAAACAAGAGCTCTCAAGAGCACCCCTGTTTGTAGACTGCTGCCATCTCAAATGAAATATATCCAAATATTTTGCCTTTTTAAGAAGTACCTAATTGAACAGGTTCAATTTTAAGGAAATTGGTAAGGGATGAAATACCTAATATTGGAGATGGACACGAGACAAATGTGAACAGTTTTGTAAGCCCAGCATCTAATGCACTGCGTTTGAAACTGAATGGTATGTAGTCATATCCTTAGGAACCAATTACTTGCTTAAGGTTTCCACATTGTGTATGGAGTATGATGAAAACTGAGTGGGAGACCTTACATCAACAGCAGATCGATATTATGTAAATGTTAAGTTCCAGGAGCCAATCAAGGTTAAGGTAGATGCTTACCAAAGTAGATGCTTACCAAAGTAGAAAGGAAAGAGGCAAAGGGAGCGGGTTGCTCATGGGATGCTGCCTCTTCTCAGTGTACGGACATGTTTATCATATCTGTTTTTGAGGGTATTGGTGTTCTTGCTCAGTACAACTTCAGATGGTAGTTGATTCCAGTGGTCCACCACTCTCGAAGTGAAGAATTGGTTCCGCCTGTGTAGCCGGTGTCTTGGCTTCTGTAGTTTGAGTGCATGTCCCCGCTGTGGTGGTGTGGCCTCTCAGCAACACGCCTCACTGTTCATACGCACAGGAGATGCATTCGCTCACGCACGAAGCACAGTCCAGCCGTAATGCCACTCGCCGGTCAACTGCCGGTCCCCCGCGCCGGCCGCGCGGCTCAGCCGCGCGGCCGGTCACGCCACCTCAGGCGGTCACGTGACCGTTCAAGGTCACCGCCGTCCAACGGTACCGCACGGCACGTTGCACGGGCCGCCCAAGCCCGATACAGACCACCACACCTCCCCTCACGTGCGAAGAACGCGAGCACGAAATCATACCTAACTGAAATTAAACTTCTTCGATCAGTCGGCGCGGAGGGCGGCGGACGCGCTCCGACCGACGTAGCGGTGGAGGGGCGTGGTGCACAGTCTCGCGCGACGACAGACTGGCCCCGCCGCTCGTCGCAGTAGCCGTCCGGCGATCATCGATGGGAGCCCCGCGTCGGTCCTCCGCCGCAGGGGACGGATCTGGTGTCGCGTGTCCGTACCGCCGTCGGATGTGCCGCCTGTTTCGCACGAGGACCCGGCCTCCCGCCAGGCGAACATAGTAACGGCGGTAGGGACCAACGTCGGCAATCACTCCATATCGGTCCCATCTTCCGGTGCGATGATCTTGTACGGCGACCTGGTTCCCTACGGACAGCTCGGGCAAGTCGCGCGCTGTCTGATTGTAGGCGACCTCCACCTTTTCTTGATTGCTGGCAGCCTGAGCCTCCGCGTCTTCGGCGGCTCGCTGCCACTCCGGTGCGAAGTTACGTCGGTGCGCCGGGATGGTGTCTCGCATCGGTCTTCCGAAGACGACTTGAGCTGGGGAGCGGCCGCTCGGCCCTGGAGTGTTCCTGTGTTGCAAGACGCCACGGGTCCACTTTTCGTCGTCCAGCTGTCCCGTGAGGTCATCCCAGCACCTCCTCAGCAGCTTCTTTGCAGACTTGACTGCAGCTTCAGCCCGCCCGTTTGCTTGTGGGTAGTGCGGTGACGACTTTTGATGGATTATGCCCCACTTCTCAGTGAAAAGGCGAAACGAGCTGGACGTAAACTGAGGTCCACCATCGGTCCAGATCGTATCTGGCACCCCTACTCTGCAGAAGATGCTCCTCAACGCACCAGTCAGCCGTCGGGTGGGAGCGCTCTTTCCAAGAGGTTCGACGAAACGCCACCCCGAGAAGCCGTCGACCGCCACCAGATACTTGTTCCCGGCGTGCTCGGCGAGATCGATATCCAGGGCCCAATCTTACCAAATGCCGTGAATGCGCATTCACGGCATTTGGTAACATTCAGAACTATTCCACTTTCACTTATTCATTCGTTCAGGCAACATTCATAATCATTGACGCTATCAAAATCATTGGAAAAGATTAGCTGGATGTAAATAAAAAGGATATCTTTGATATCAGTGCCGTAAACTCCGGCCAGTGCTGCCAAATCCTATTCACGGCATTGGTAAGATTGGGCCCTGGTGCTGGAACGGCCTGGCAGCGGGTGGGCGATGGACCAGCGTCTCCTTCTGCTGTGACGGCAGCTCACGCTGGCATTTGCGACAGTTCCTGGTGACGTTCTCAATATCTCGATCCAGGCCCGGCCAGAACACTATCTGGCGAGCCCTGGCCTTAGTCCTCTCCCTTCCCAAGTGTCCATCGTGCAGGGATTCAAGCACTTGACGCCGAAGTGCTCCAGGGATGATCAGACGGCATCCACAGACGGCCAGTCCATCGTCCACTGACAGCCGCTCGCGGACTGGCCAGTACGGTCTGACCAGTTCTGGCAGCTCCACTTTGGCATCCGGGAAGCCATTCCGGATCACTTCCTGAAGGGCCTGTAGCTCCGGATCCCACGCAGCGGCGCTGCGTACCTCTTCTAGGCGAAGGTCGGGGTGAGTTTCGGCCACCTCGACGGCGATGATGGAGCACAGCGCGGGCGCGGTCGAATCCTCGCCGATCTCGTCATCGTTTTCTGGATCTTGCACTGGCGATCTTGAGAGAGCATCTGGTGCCTGGTGCTGAGATCCTGGGATCCATGAGGCGGTGAACGATCCCACCTCGCCTATTTTCATGCGAAGACGTTGCAACCGTGGGTTCTCGATCTCATCCAGAGTCTTACTGTTCAGGATGGGCACCAATGGTCGGTGGTCGGTGCAGATCTGAAAGCAAGGGAGGCCGGCGAGGAACAAGCGGCACTTCTTTATCGCCCATGCCACCGCCAGCGCCTCCAGTTCTATCGTCGCGTAACGCGTCTCCGCGTCGGACAGGAACCGTGATCCCGCCTGGATCACCTTCCACGTACCGTCCGGCTGCTGCTGACGGAGGACAAAGCCCAGTCCTCTCAAACGGCTGGCGTCGGTTGCAAGCGAGGTGGGGCCATAGGCGTCGCCAGACATTTTCGGTTGGGGGGGCAAAATCAAGTTTTGTGTTAAACCTTGCCTTTCCCCAGCCGTTACTCACTCGTTTTACGTACCAGTAAAACGCCTTTTGGGCGAAGAACGAGCGAGCGAGATAGTGAGCCCTGCACGTGCGGAAGGGCGAGAGGGTACTTCCAACGGGCTTGTGCAAAGCACCCTTCTAACCGGTCGCTAGCGGTGTGCCAAATTTGAACGCAATCGGCCCAGCCGTTCCTGAGATCTGGAAGCGGCATTCTGCACGTGCGCACGTGCAAACGGGGTCCAAAATGACTTTTGCACGGCACCCTACTAACCGGTCCCCAACCGTGTACCAAATTTCAGCGCAATCGGCCCAGCCGTTCTCGAGATCTGGAAACGCCCCCTGCACGTGCGCACGTGCAGTAGCACCCTAACCGCAACACATGGGAATGCATTGCCTGGTGGGTGCCTACCTGTATGCCAAGTTTCAGCGAAATCGCCCCAGTAATTACCGAGTTATTGAAATGGGAACACATTTGGCACCTCTTCTTTTTGTATTTTGCACGTGCATTGGGGGTCACTCACATAGATCAAGGGTACCCGACCTTTGGAAGAAGGGATGCAGCTACCCTATAAAAATTACCGCAAGACAATCGCTCAAGCCGCTGCTGAGATATGGGCCTCTCAAAATCATTACTTTTGCAAAACTGCTTGAACACCCTTGACTTCTCACGTGGCACGTGCCACGACGGTCACTGAGATGTATCAAAAGTAGTCAATTACGGGGAAGAAGGGATGGGGCTACCCAGCAAAAAAGACCGCAGGCCAATCGGTCCAGCGGTTGCTGAGATATGAGCCTCTCAAAAGCGTTACAGGCCGGGCCGGGCCGGGCCGGGCCGGGCCGGGCCGGGCCGGGCCGCTCATACTGAGATTTTTCCGTTATATTGAAAAGACTTCGCTTCGCTCGCTGCGCTCGCTCGCTCGTAATCATTCGACGCGCAATGGTGCGAGGAATCCGATGGTGACAAAGTTTTCCTTCTAGCTATAGCATGTATTTTTTTACAAAAAAAAAATCAAAATTTTGAAATTTCTGGACAAAAACGACCGTTAGAATTACAGTGGCTGCGATTGCCGACGCACTGCAGAGGGCCCCTGTGCAGACTCCCGTCGCTCATGATCATTACCCAGAAGAAGGTGAAAAACGCTCCATTTGAATCGGATCACCTCGCTAAAACCTCCATTCACGCATGCATGCCGGGGTTTTACGTGAAATGCATAGGGCTTA